GCATAAAAATGATAAAAGTAAAATATAATTTTGCTAACAAAATAAATTGCAATTTTTTTTTCTGAAAAAAACAAAAAAAAAAAATTTGTTTGTAAATTTATAAATTATAACTTATTATTTTACTATAATTTAAAATTTTTTTTTTTTTTTGTTACAATTATTTTTTATCAGTTGAGAAAAAAATGCAAAATAGGAAAAATTTAAACGAAAAAAAATTGTTTGAATGATTTTGTTTATTACTTATTCATTTATTTTTATTAGTTTAATACAATAATACACACAAAAAAAAAGAATTTATTATAACAAAAAAAAATTGAAAAAAATTACAAAAAAAAGTTAAAAAAAACTGAAATTAAAAAACTGAAAAAAAAAATGATAAATTCATTCTTTTTTATTTAACAAAATACAAAAATTATTGATAACATTTCAAATTTTTCTCCAAAAATTTTATTACTAAAAAGTGAAAGTAAAAAATTAATTATAAAATAAATTTAAACAAAAAAAAGGAAAAAAAAAGTTTTACTTTTTTTTTTGTAACACTAAAAACTCTAAATTATTAGCTTAATAGTAAGCATAATTAAATTTGAAGAGTGGATAAACCAATGTAGCAAAGTTGTTTATTTCTAAACTTGTTTTGATTTTACTTTAGCTAACAAAGAAAAAAAAAAGAAGAGTGAAATGTTATTAAATCAATAAATCAATAAATTTAATTTTCTAGAAAAATATACCCTACCCAGAAGTTACCCATAAAATTATTAAATTTTTTTTTTTTTTTTAACAAACATTAAATAAATGAATTTATTAACCTATTGAAATAATTAAAATTTAATGCATTTATTAACAGTGATAAAGAAATGAAAGAGAGAGAGAGAGAGAGGGAGGAAAAGAAAATTTGCAAAAAAAAAAAATAAAAGAGCAAAAATTTCATCGTCATTTTTTCAAATTTCAATGATTCTGAAAAAAAAATTTTTTTTTTTAAAAAGAAAAAGAAAAAAGCTTTGTATAAAAGATGCAAATTAAATTTTCTCTTTCAAACTTTCTTTCCTTTTTTTTTTCTATCAAAGAAAGAAGAAATAAACGATTGACAAAATTTTTTTTTTTCTCTTTTTAATTTTTAATTTTTTTTTTTTTATGTTACTTTTCAATATGTTATAGTAATGATTGATGATTGACAAAGCCTAAAAGAAAGAGAAAAATGAAAAAAAAAAAAACGAACAAACAATGCTTTGAATTGATTTTCTTTTCTTTCCCTCTCTCTCTCTCTCTCTCTCTCTCTCTCTCTCTCCAACAATTTATTTATTTTTTATTAAAATCAAAAAAGAAAAACGAGAATGAAAAAAAATGAAAATTTTAATAAAAAAAAGCATTTACAATAATTCATTGAATATTGAATAAAAAGTTAAAATATAAATGTATAACCTTTAGTAATACTAATCAAAAAAATTTTTTTTTGCTTCAAAATCTATTTAATGAAAGATTTAATTTGCATTTTTTTAAGTTTTGAAAAAAAAAATTATAATTAAAAAAAATAATATTACAATTCAAAAAAAAAAAAACAAGAAAAAAGGAAAGCTTTATTGCAACTAATAACTGAGATCTTATAATTGAATTTTAATTTACTTTTACTTCCAATATTTTAATTTAATTTATTTTTTATTCATTTCATTTCATCACTTCCGAATTGTTCCACTCTCTAATTAAATATTACTCATTTATCGTTTAATTAAATAATTTAAAATATCCAAGATCAAAAAAAAAAAATTGAAATTTGATAATTTTATGCTTAAAATTATAAAAATAATTGATTATAATTCGATCATTTGTATAAAATTGTAATAAAATGACGTAAAATGACGTAAAAATAGTTCGTAAATTATAAATTGAGCTAATGACGTCTTTGTGGCGCACTTTTCAAATTGTTTATTGTCACGGGAAGAAGTAAGTAAATGGGAGTAAGTAAATAAGGTAAATACAAAATATTCAAAAAAAAAAAATAAAATTGTATTTAAAAAAATTTCAAAATTTTATTTTTTAATAATTCAAAATTAAATCAATAATGTTTGGGAAGAAAAAACAGCATTTTTTAATTTTTTTTTTTTAGTGAAGGTTTAGAGATCCTTGCGAGAATAATGTGATAACTATAAAAAAAGAAATTATCAGTTATCAATGTTATACTAAAAAAGAAATCATCAGTTATCAATGTTATATTAAAAAAGAAATTATCACTTATCAATGTTATACTAAAAAAGAAATTATCACTTATCAATGTTATACTAAAAAAGAAATTATCAGTTATCAATGTTGTATTAAAAAAGAAATTATCATTTATCAACGTTATACTAAAAAAGAAATTATCACTTATCAATGTTATACTAAAAAAGAAATTATCACTTATCAATGTTATACTAAAAAAGAAATTATCACTTATCAGAGTTATACTAAAAAATAAATTATCACTTATCAATGTTATACTAAAAGGGAAACTATCAGGTATCAATGTTATACCTAAAAAAAATATTTGATTTGCTATTAAAAATTTCTGTTTCTAATTTCTACCAATTTTTAATTCAACAAATGTTTCAAAATTTTTAGCAAATCTTGGTTATAACATTTTTTTTTTATTGATAAAAATGCTTATTTTATAATTTTTTGACCTCACAAATATTTTTGAAAATTCATTAAAATTTTAATACTTTTAATTTTTGAAGACTAATATTTTTTTTATTTCAATTTTTTTTTTTTTTTTTTTTTTTTGAAAATTTCATTATTAGGGAAAAAAAATAGATTGAAAGAGAAGACTAATAATATAAAACTAAACATTTCTATCATAAACATATTCTTCTTCTTCTTTCTTCTTTTATTTTCCATTACATCCCTCTCATTTCTTTCTCTCTCTCCCTCCCTCTCTCGTTCTCTTTCTTTCTCCCTCTCTCCCTCTTCACTTATTTTTCTTTTTGTAATTTTTCAAATTTTATCGAAAAATAAAAAATTGTCCTTAAAAAATTTTTTTCACAATGCATTTTTCATCTTTCAATTAATCATTAAAAAAAAATTTTTTTTTTAAATTATTTGCAAGATTTTTCACACTTTTTAGCAATTGTTTTCAAAAAAAAAAGAAAAGAAAATTTTAATAATTATTTGGAAAAGAAAAAGAAAAATTTTTTTTTTCAAATAATTATTTTTGACAAAAAATCAATAAATTTCTTCCATTTGCCTATTTTTATTTTATATTTTACTAAAATTAAATTTTTTAATTGGTAATAAATAAGGTAGGAAGAAAAAAAAAAGAAAATTTCATTAATATTAGATATTTAGCATATGTTTATTTTTTATTTAAATTACTTTTTGCTGCTATGAAATTTTATTTATTAAAATAAACAAATAATAATATCTGTTCTTTTTCTTTTTTTTGAGCGAAAATTTTTAACAGTTCATTTAATTTAAATATTTATTAATGCAAAAATTGAAACTGCAAGAATTATATGATCAATTTCAGTAAGTACAAACAAAAAAAAAAAAAAAAAAAATTAAAAAACATAAATGAAAATTATATTAACAATAAATATTTTCTGTTTTGTTTTCTTTAAAAAAAAAATTTAATTTAATTTAAAAATTGAATTTTTGCGCAATTTTTTTTCATAACACTTTTTTAGCTTTTACATTTATTAATTTAATATAACTTTTTATTCAATCTAATTTTACTTATTTACTAATTTATTTATTTATTTAATTATTTTGATAATTTTTTTTTCACAAATTTTATCATTTCACCAAAAAGAAAATAATGAAAATTTATAAAACAATCATTTTAAATAATTTCTAAAAATAAACAATTTTCTAAATAATTTTTAAATTTCAAATAATTTCTAAAACATAAACCCTTTTTTTTTCAGTCAACATTAATTGAATTTTTCTTTTGCTTTTTCTTTCTTTTTTTTTTTTTTTTAATGAATAAGTTTAAATGAATTGAAAAGGAATAAATTATTTGCGCTTAAATTAAAACTTTCTATAAAGTAAAAATTTTTTTTCCGGAAAAAAAAAAATTTGTATTAGTTAAATTTATCAATTCGCAGACAATATTTTTTATCATTTCCTTTCTTTTTTTTTTCTTTCGTATATTAATTTAAATATGAAAAGGAATAAAACCATTGAAAATTCATTGCCATTTGTAATTTAATGAAATATTTTTTTAGTTAATAAAACTTAATAAATTAATTTAATGATTATTAGTTATTGATTATAATATAATTTGATAAAATGATTTAATGATTATTATTATTAGTTATAATTACTAATTGAATAAAAAAAAAAAGGAAAAGGAAACTAAAAATTTTAAAATAAACGAATTGAGGAGAAAATTTGAAATTTTTAAATAAACATTTACATGTAATAAACAATTTTACTAATACAATTAATAAATTCTGATAAAAAAACAGAGTTACTCATACTGAAATTAACTTTTAAGTAAAAAGAAATCATTAAAATTCATGGATAAAATATTTGAAAATGAAATAAAATGTATGGATAAAATTTAATAAATTATTAAATATCAATTGAAAATGAATTCAATAGTTTCAATAAACTACGAATAATTTAAAGATTATTTCTTTGAATCTAACTTTTTTAATTTTTTTTCCATTTTTGAAATAAAAAAAAAAAAAAGTTCTTCCTTTTCTTTTTTCCAATTAATTTACAATACCATTATTTCTTCAAAAATAAGAGAAAAAAAAAGAAAAAAAACGATATTTAAATTATTCCTTTTATTTTCAAATTTATATATTCCTGCGGGTAATTTACCAAAAAAAAAATTTTTGAAACGAAAAAAATGAAATAAATAAATGAAAGCAAAAAAAAAATAAAAAGAAAAACATTTAAAACATAAAATTATGTTTGACAAATGATTGACTTTTTATTATTGTTGTAGTTATATTTATTCATGGAAGAATGAAAATAAATGGATGAATGGTTGATTACTTCGTCGTTTCCTATTTTAATTCTAATTATTTCCTTCTATTTCCACCCACTCTTTCTCCCTTTCCTCCTCCTCTCTCCTTTTCCTTCCATCTTTTCCTCTTCCTTTCTCCTTTTCCTTCCATCTTTTCCTCCTCCTTTCTCCTTTTCCTTCCATCTTTTTCCTCTTCCTCCTCTTCCTCTCCTTTTCCTTCCATCTTTTCCTCCTCCTTCCTCCTTTCCTCCTTTTCCTTTTCCTTCCATCTTTCTCCTTTTCCTTCCATCTTTTCCTCTTCCTCTCTCCTTTTCCTCCTCCTTTTTCCTTTTCTTCCATCTTTTCCTCTTCCTTTCTCCTTTTCCTCCCATTTTTTTCCTTTTCCTTCTATCTTTTCCTCTTCCTTTCTCCTTTTCCTTCCATCTTTTCCTCCTCCTTTTTCCTTTTCCTTCCATCTTTTCCTCCTCCTTCCTCCTCTTCCTCCCATTTTTTTCCTTTTCCTTCCATCTTTTCCTCTTCCTTTCTCCTTTTCCTTCCATCCTTTCCTCTTCCTTTCTCCTTTTCCTTCTATCTTTTCCTCTTCCTTTTTCCTTTTCCTTCCATCTTTTCCTCTTCCTTTCTCCTTTTCCTTCCATCTTTTCCTCTTCCTTTTTCCTTTTCCTTCCATTTTTCCTCTTCCTTTTCCTCTTCCTTCTCCTCTTCCCTTTCCCTCAATAATAGCTCTTTTACCTATTTGAAAAAAAGATGGAAGAAAAAAAAAAAAAAAAGCATTTGGGTAAATATAAGCCAATTCATCAACATCTATTACATCTACACATCCATTACATTACTTATGTGAAGAAGACTTAATAGCCTAGGCCAGCTAGCTAAATGAGCCTAGTTTTGACTTTTTATGCTAATGCTAAAATGCAATAATATTGATAAAAAAAAATTGATTAACTTATCGTCTTTTGCTATGCATAGCACATCTTTTAATGGAAAATAAAATTGCAATGAAATGTTATTTGCAATTTTCTTACCAAAAATACTATTTAAGTAACTTTTTTTTTTTTTTCATTAATTCTTTCTATCATTGAATTGAATTTAAAATGAAACAAAAATGGAACGATGGAAGAAAGAAAGAAAAAAGGAAAAAAGGAAGTTAAATTTTAAAAAAAAGTAAATAAAGATGGAAGATATGAGAAAAGAAAGTTACAATAATATTTGTTTGTGTTTCATTAATTAATCTTTGAAATTATATTTATAAATAAATTATTATTTATGAATATTAAATTTATTATTGATAAAAAAGTAATTTAATTAGGAAAAACAAACGGAAAATTAATTTGTAATGCTCATAAGATTACTTCTTGTAAATAACAAATAATTGTAATTTTTTATGAGCCAAACAATATTTAAAGTTACACTTTAATATTTCAATCAATTTAAAAAAAAAAAAACTCTGATATGATATTATTTACTTCCTTCGTCCATTTTTATATTTCTTTCATCTCTTCTAATAATCATTAAAATTTGAAAATTATAATAATTCATACTTAAAAAATACTTAAAAATTTAAGCTTTATTATTAATAGAAATTAGATAGAAAAATAATTGACACTGCATTAAAAGAACTAATATTTATTTTACCCCACTCATTGAAAATAAGAATTTCTTTTCTTTAATCTAACCTAATTAAACAAAACAAAAAAAGCATAATTTATTTTATTTAAATTATAATTAAATTAAGTTATCACATCCGATTTTAAGTTGTATAATTCGCTTTTGTTAACCTGGTTATTCTTGTTTTTTCTAGAAAAAAAAAGAATAAAAATGAATGACATTATCAGGTTGAAAAGATTTTTTGAAGAAATTATTATTTCAATTCAATTAATATAATGAATTCAAATAACTAAAATTAACAATAATTGATTAATATTAAAATACCAATAAATATTAATATTAGAAAATTAATAATATTAAATTCATTAATAACAACTATCTATTTGTAATATATAATAATTGCTATTACTATAACAAAATTTTACCTAAACCAAACAAAAAGTAAGGAAGAGGAAAAGAAAAAAGTCATTATTTATTGATATCATTTTTTAATAAAATATTAAAATAATTTTTAAAGATTGAAAACGAAGCTAATGTAGCAGAAAGAACCGATCAAAGGATTTTTAGAAATGATAGATTGCCACAAGTGAAAAAATGATAAATTTCACTATAAAATAAACTCTTCATCAATCATTGATCACTGTAAGCCATTAAATGATCGATCATTATGTCAATAATAAATACAATGTTATAATAGTGATTATTATAACTATAATTAATAACAATAAGTAATAATAATAGTAATAACAATAACAACAATAATGATGACAATACTAATGATAATAATAACAATAATAATAATAATGTTAACAATAGCAACAATAATAATAGTAATAATATGATAATAATTGGTGATAATTATTAATGTATTAATAATAGCTGCAGTAACAATATATTAGTAATAATAGTAATACATATATAATAATAATAATAATGATAATGATAACACATTGATGACAGTAATAATGATGTATAATTATTACTATTGTTATTATCATTATTTTTATTATTATTTATTATTTTTATTATTGTTTATTATTTTTATTATTGTTTATTATTATTATTTTATTATTTATCATTATATTTTTACAAGTTTTTAACTTAATAAATTTCAAATGTCAAATTTTTGTATTCAATTTTCAAATGTCAAATTTTGTATTAAACGAGTAAAACATTTATTTTTAACTATTATATATAAAATTTTCAATACAAAATTAATTTCAATTAAATCAATAAAAAAGAAGAAAGAGAAACTGAATGATTTGAAATGGATTTTATTGTAAAATTCGTTTATAAAAATGAATTTTTCAAGTATTTATAAGTCTTAGTGAAATGCTATTTCAATATAATTTCTCATTTATTTGTCTCTTTCTGTTGTAATTAAATTTCATTTAATTTTTCTGTTCTTTCTTCTCTCTTTGTTTCTCTTCCACATATTCTTTCTTTTCATTTGTTTATCGTCAATGTAATTAAATTTATTCAAATTTTTTTTCTGTTTCGTTTTTTTTTTTTTTTTTTTTTTTTTGCTACTCATTTTTTATAGTTTTTTAGATATAATTAAATTTATCCTTAAAATTCTTTCCTTTGTTTTTTTTTCTTTTTCATTTTTCGCATTTGTTTATTTTAATTATGAATTTAATCAAGATTATTTATTCTAAACAAAAGACGAAAGTATCTTTTTCATACATCTTTTTAGTTTTATTTACTCTGTTATTTTTAGTCTTTATGATTTGAATTTATTTTTAATTTCAATGTTATTTTAATTTAATGCATATTTATTAAAAAGTTTTCGAAGGGGAAAAAAAGCATTATATTTATGTTTTTTTTTTTTTTTTTATTTAAATATGATTGAATTTTGAAAATTGTTTAAATTATATGATCGAATTTTGACGAAATTGTTTAGGAAAGTATAATTGTTAGAGTTAATCGATATGGATCAAATTTTTTTCAAATCTATATAATACCTTTTTTGAGTTAAATTTAATTTGAATACTCATTAGTGCTAATTAATGAAATTAAAATCTAATTATTTTGACAAAGTTTATCCTTAGAAAGTTGAAAAAAAAAAACTGAAAAAAGAGAAAAGAATATATTGAAATATTTTTAATGCTAAATTGATCACTTAATCCGTTCAAAAATTTAAATATATTGATCATTTGATCTGTTCAAATTATGTTTTCTTTTTTATAGGAATAATGAAAAATGAAAACTGAAAGAATGAGTTAAAATTTTGAATTTAAATTTTCTATGAAAATAAACATTGAAAGAATGATTTTGAATTTGGCTTATGAGAGAGAGAGAGAGAGAGAGGGAGGGAGAGAGAGAGAATAATTTTAATTTTGATTACAAATCTGTTAGAATGCAAAGATACTAAATGTTATTTTTGTTAGAAATGATTAATTTGTCACTTTTCTTTCATTTATTTCTCATTTTCATTCAATCATTTGCGCCAATTGTTTTATACAATTGGCGCAAATGACATATGCACAGGGATTATTTTGATTTTTATCAACATTTAATTAAATGCGACTAATACAACAATAACTAATCATTTTCTAATTTTTAATTTCAATTTTGCAACAAATATGTTTGTAATAGATTTTTGTTGATTAAAATAATAAAATATTAGTATATTTGCGCTAATGAGAAATAAATTTTATTCGTTTTTCAATATTGAAAAACTTGAAAATTCATGATGAAAATTATTTACCATTTTTTTGTTAGCCACCAATCTTTCAATAATTTACTAGGCACATTTTTTAAGTACAACATTTGGCCGTAATTTATAAAGTTCTAATTGCAAACATATCAGTAAACAATGATTGCTGGTCCATTTTTTAGGTCGAGATTTCTCGAGTCGACAGAAATAATTTGATGAAGATCACAAGTGCATTTTTATGTTGACATTACACAGGAAAGTTCTCAGAGATTACTGGTGCATTTTTCAAGTCGAGATTCCTGAAAACTTCTCGGAGTTTACCAGTATATTTTTTACGTCTAGATTTCTTGGGAAAGTGCTCAGAGATTATTGGTGCATTTTTCAAGTCGAGATTTCTTGGAGATTACTAGTGTATTTTTTAAGTCGAGAATTCGTGGAAAATTTCTTGGAAATTGCCAGTGTATTTTTTAAGTCGAGATTTCTCGGAGAAAGCAATGGTTCAGGAAGACCTATGAGATAATATATAATTATCAAATTTTCTCAGTGAACAATAATTTCTTCAATTTCTTTACATATTCTTTTCATATATATAAATCAGGCGAACATGAACAAAAAATTAATTTACTAATTGGAATTTTTTTTTATTATTTTTAGTTTATTAATAAAATTTTAAGCAAAAAATATTTTGATTTCAAAAATTTCAAATGAAGAAAGCATTTAAATAATTGATGAATACAAAAAAAAAAAAGAAATTAAGGACTAAAATAAGAAAATATCGTTATAATTTGTATTTTATATTGAGAATTTTAAAATTTTTCATCATAAATTTCAGAAATAATTTTGGTATTTGTTTTTTTCACAAAACTTTTTTAATAATAGAACAGACAAAGCAAAAGTTACAGTCTTTTAATTACTAAATTACTAATTAATAACTATGATTTAAAAATTGTTTTTTTTTCAAACAAAATTTTAAGACAGAAAAAAAAGACTTTATATAGCAATATGAAATTGTTACAGTAATAATTTTAAATTTTAATATTTTCACTATAGTTTGTAAAATGAGATGAACTGAAGTGTAATAGAAAATGAAATTTTAATTTGTCATATTATTAATAAGAATAAAAAGAAGAGTCTGTCAATTTAATGAATTATTTGCTTATTACTGTTGTTACTTTTTCATAAATTTAATTAGCATTAATTGAATTTCATTAAATTTATGGTAGTACAATAAAATATTAATAAAATATCCTCAAAAAGAGCATATAATTTGTCAGTTGATTTATAAATTAGTGAACACAAATATAATTAATATATAAGCGGGCAAAGTGACAATTTGATAAATTGATTGTTAACAAATTCGTATTATGACAAAATTTAACCTTGAATATTCATTAATGCTAATTAAT